TGACATCCATCCAGCTGACACACTACTGCAATCTCCTGAGACCCTGCACCTCTCCACCAAGCTATTCCCAAACTCCCGACTCAAACTGTCAGAAACTGAGAGCTAATGTCTGCTGTTGTCTTAATGTTCAAAGCAACCTATTATACAAGAGATATCTCACACACCTACTCTAAAACTGTGAACTCCTCAAAACTCCACTAATTCCTTAGAAATAAACAATGAAAAAAAAATGAAAAGAAAAAAAAAAAAAGAAAGAAACAATGCTAGCCCGCTTTGGTGGCACAACGGGTTAGGACTCAGCACTGCAAATCAATCGCAGCGCTTCAGTGCAAGTTTGATCCCAGGCCCCAGAGGTGATCCACATGGTGCAGCAGACCTCTCCTAACCCAGCCCGCTGCTCCCCTCAGCAGTGTACTTTGTCTATCTGCCTGTTCTGTTCCCCACTCTGTTTCTGGTGAAGCCTCTCACAGCCTCTGCCCCTCTGGCTTGTACCCCAGTTCTGTATGCATAAATAAATCTCTAAAAAAAAGAAAGAAACAATGCTGGCAGGCCCTCCCTGGTGGTGCATCGGATTAAAGCACAGCTCTGCAAGTTGGCTGCAGCCACCTCACTATAAATTCAATCCCCAGCACCAGAGGTGATCCACATGGCACAGCAGATCTCTTGCTTCACCCAATGCTCGCCTCAGCAGTGTACTTCATCACTCAGCCTGTTCTGCTCCCCACTCTGTCTCTGCTGAATCCTCTCACTGCCCCTATACCTCTGGCCTGTACCCCACAGTTCTGTGTACATAAATAAATACAAATCTTAAAAAAAAGAAGAAAAAAAGGAAACAATGCTGGGCCTCCCTGGTGACACAGGAAGTTAGTCTCAGAGCTATCACCTCCACAACCTGAGTTTGATCCCCAGCCAGGGACTGACCCACATGGTGCAGCAGACCTCTCCTGTCTCCCCGCTGCTCCCCTCAGCAGTGTACTTAGTCGATCTGCCTGTTCTGCTCTCACTGTCTCTGGTGAATCCTCACCACCCCCACCTCTGGCCTGTACCCCAGTTCTTGTATGCATAAATAATGAACCTTTAAACATGCATACACATCTTATTTAAAAAATAAATAAACAATGCCATATTTATTGATTGAACTGTGTCAGTGGATCATTTCTTGTTCGATGTTTTTTCTTTCAAAATGCATCTACTTATAAATTACTCCCTACACTGTTCATCTATATAATGTTCTCCCTCTTTCAAAGTCCTTCTGAAATAAAACCTGACCAATTTTTTTCCTCAGTAAATGAAAATGTTCCTTATATCAATCAATTCTATCAACATTTACAAACACACACACACAACCACTCACTGTAATTACAAATTTGTTCACATGCATCTTTTATTCTACACATCTGTACAAAGCATCTACCATGTCCTAAGAGCTGCTCTTCAAACTAGGAACAAAATAAATATCCCTGCCCCTGCATAGCTTACAGTCTCATAAATGCTCTCACCAGAGTGAACTCTCTAAATATAGTCATCTTTGTTAATATTACTTCAAAATTCTAATCTCCCTTTCTTAAAACTTAATTACTCAAAACTATTGGTCATATCTGCATCTCCTGTCCTTTAGTATTTAAATTGCATTCTCAAAAAAAGTCCAAACCTGTTCAACAACCTTGTAAGGTGGGCCACAGAAACGATGCGTCAATGCCCTCCATTCAATATATTTTCCATGGGCCACATCAAGAATAGTCCAGTTTTACAGACTTATGTTCTAATTATATTTTAAAATATGTCAGAGAACTAGGATTTAACCAAGCACAGGACTGCCTGCATACACAAGTAGTAGAGACACATCGTCTGCTTGCCTCCACAGCTGATCTGGTTCAGTGTACAATAAAAGCCTGCTAGTGAGACTTTCTCTTTGCAAAGTCAGTCCGGCAATGCCTGCATCGTGCCCTTTCTACCATCCCAACCCTGGGCCTGTGTGTGTGTGTGAAGAGAGCATCTGACAGCAGAAACTCCTTCCTAGCTCCCGTGTCCCCAAACTATCTGCTGAAGTACAGGCAGTGTGCAAGTGTCACAGGAACAAATGGCTACACTAGTGATGGCTATGAAAACTGTATTATGTTCAAAAACAATTATTTTCAGATTCTTAAAAAGGAATTTTTTGACACCAACAGTCAATACATATTATCAGATGGAGCGCAGCCTCCTTTTGAATTTTTCCCCTTATAAGCGACTGAAATTGTAACAAAAAATATTAAGAGCACAAGGCTGATTAGGAGAAACTAAATTACTCAACAAATCTAATTCTCATCAAACTTCTGGTAATCTCGCATTTATAAAATTAACTCCTGATCTTTATAAACAGCATTCACTCTTTAGATTTCACCGATAAGCCTTTGAGAAAAAGAGCTACTAAGCTGGGAGGTAAAAGTGCAGTCCTGCCTCCTCAAGATTTCATGAAGGAAAATCATCAATATTCACAGGTAAATCAATGAGATACCCCAAAACTCTGCTCCTCTGCTGACCTCAGGGATAAGTGGGCCTCCACCTGGGGCAGGCGGCAGCCACGGCACAAGCCAGGAGCTGACCGGTGCTAAGGACTGGCTGTGCCAGAAGGGCGGACTTAGACATTTCTATCCAGTAACGAGAAATACCACCACATTCTAAGTGTACAGTGAGTATCATTTGATAAGTCTGAGCAATTCTAAATCAAATACTAAAATTTGCTTCACAGAAAATAGTTCCAATAGAGGCAGTAAAATGACATGGAAGTGAAAAATTCTCACCTCACCTGTATTTACTTCTACAAAGCAGAGCGTTCAAAGAATAAAGCATATATACTCCTCTCTTAACTCAAGTGTGGCTCTGTTACTATAACCTTAGACAAATTATTTAACTACCCTGAGCCTCAGTTTCCCTATCCTAAAGGGGAGGTAAAATCTACTTCACAGTATTGTTTTGAGGATTAACCATAAATTAAAAGCTTACCTTAATGACTGTTACAAGAATATCAAGAGATGTCTATTTCCTACCCATTCCTTAGGGTGTATGCCTATCAGAAATTTGTCTGGAAATCTTTCGAAACCCAGTTACTTCTGTTTGAATGACCCCTCCTTTGTCTAGCAAATTAGCTCAAATGCCATCTTCTCTTTGAAGTCCAAAGAAAATGCTCCCTGTATGCCACTTTCGGCCTCTCCCTCCACACTGCGAGCTCCTCATGCACAGGGACCATAGCTCACTGATCTTGATAACTTCAGTTTTTAGGAAAACACCTGGCACATTGCGGGCATGGAGCAAGTTTACTGAATAAATGGATGAATGGAATCATTACTTTAATGATTACTACGGGGGGACCCAGACTTCACAGTTTTGCCCTGTGTGGGCACGATGCTGTTTTATGTACTTCCTTTGAGTCTTCCTCACAGCACTTAGCAGAATACTAAAGTGGTAGGAACTGCTGCAATATGTACTTCTGGATTATGGGATATATATTACTCTTCCAACTGACGTGATTTTACTCTAAATTTTAATTTTTATACTAACAGATAAGACTTGGGGAGATTTTTAAAATGAGCTCTTCTTAACAGTGGCTGGCAAGGAACTAAAGCAAACACTAGGACTAGACTACAATCAGGTTTTCTTTGTGCTTTTGGAAGAGCAGTGATGGCTTGCTTCTTTCCAAATAATTTCATTAAGAAACTGAGTACCATGAAGTCCTTTGATTCACTAGGAAAAAGGCAAAAGACACTACAGAAAACTTAGTTTAATAACTGTCAGCGAGAGGTTCCCACCCTACAGTCACAGGGCTGCAGGCCAGCTGGCTGTACCACCTCACCCCTGGGAGGTGGCTGCTCTTGAACAGTAAAACTGCATAAGTGAAATTTGGAGGGGTTTGGGTTTTGCTTTTTTTTTTTTTGGAGGGAATGGGAGTCTTCTAAAGCAGAATGCAAAAATGCAGCTTCTTACTGAACATAAAGCTGATCCTTTAGGGTTTGGCTTCAGTTAGAAAAGCTCTTGGAAAGGTCTCAAAACCGTTTCAGACATCTACAGCCTGAAAGCCAGGTGTCATTTCGTTATACACCCAGGGAGGCATCTCACATTCCTGTATACACACACTTCGTGCCCAATCTGGGCTGGTGAGCCGTTAACTGTCCACCAAACTGCCCTGAGTCATGCCACATAACAGGGAGAAAACAGAAGTGCCGCCAAAGCCCAGACGGGACGGTCTGAGTTCCTCTCAACCTAACAGCAGACACACCTTGGGCCTGGCCGCGTGCCAGGCAGTCAGGCAAAGCTTTCCTTCCATACTCACGACGACCCCATGGGGTCGGTACTACTGCACCCCCATTTTTCTGATGAGGCCGCTCACGGCGCAGCCCCGGCCCAGGCCACCAGCGGAAGAAGCGCGCGCCCTGGGGTAGCAGCCTGGGCGGGGGTGTCATCAGGGGGCAGACACGCACTCTCTCAGGGGGTAACGTTCCCGGCAGCCGACTACCAAATCGGCCAGCGCGCCTACACCTGGCGGCACTCGAAGGCCACGCGGCATCAACAAGTCCAGGTGAGCCCCACTAGCGGGAGTGCTGTGGTGGGCCTCGGGTGCTGAGGGTCAGCGCCGGAGCTCGGAGAAAGCGCCCGCCACGCCGCGTCCCCAGGGGCCCGAGC